CGATGCGTGACACAACCAGGCTTCGTGGCAGCGGTGGGTCCCAGCGGGGGCAGGTGTGGCGGCGAGCCTCGTCGCAATGCGGCCCGCGATGGTAGTGCGCGGTAGCGGGAGGCCCCGGTGCCGAGAGTTCCTGTGCGTCAGAAGTGACGCGAAGCTGCCGGCCGTGTACGCGCACAGCGTGCAGTCGAACCGCGACGCGTTGTGCGTGTACACGGCAAGGACGGAGGCCGGTTGAGCGCTGGCCGCGAATAGCCTGAGCGCTGGGGCATGAATGCCAGCCTCCTCCTCTTCTTGCAGCTGGTGAGCTTCTTCACCGTCATCTGCGTCGAGTCGGCGGCGCTTGCTGCCTACGTGCAGCGCACGCGGTCGCTGGGGCGGCTGTTGCAACGCTGGAGGGCAACTGGTGCCGGAGTCAACGTCCATGGGGGCGGCGACGTCGTTGCTGAGCATGGAGCTTGGGGCTGCAACGTCGTCACCGCTCCCGTCGTCGGCTGTCAAAGTGCTGCGGTCGCAGCTGCTGCACTCGTCGACCTGCATGGGCTCCACGAGCACGCGAGCCATCGGTAGATGTTCTTGGTTCGGCTCAGCGTGCGCGTGGTGCTCCACGGCGACGCGAGCAGCAGCGCGAGCAGTTGTAGCAGTAGCAGCTACCGGAGCTGGAGTAGCTGCGGTAGCCGCTGCTAGGCTTGAGTCAACCCAACCCCGGGTCGGGCAGCATGCCGCCCCGCCCTGCCCGAGTGGTGCCACGACTGTGTGGACTTCAACATGGTCTGGGGCGGCGTCGCGAGGGTTCTGGCCGGCGGGGCCAGCCTGGGAGGCGGGGCTTGGGTCCTGGGGTGCCGATGATGGCGGCGGAGCGCGAGCCAGACCGGCTGCCAGCGCTGCTGGGTCGGCGAGCATGCTGCCTGCCCTGCCGGGTGGGGCAAGCACATTCGCGACGTCTTCTGGGGGTTCTGGGGCGGCGGCGTGGGGGTCTTGAGCGTCCTCGTCGTCGCTGCTGTCGCCGTCGAGCTCCAAGGGCCAATGGCGGACCGCCAAGGCCCGAGCTGTAGCGGCTGAGAGTGTAGCACCCGGCGATACCGAGTCGGGCAGCCTGCCGGCCGCCCTGCCGGGTGGTGCCACATCGTAGGGGGGGGGGGGTCTTGGGGGCTGGCGAGGGCCGTCGCCGCGAGCCCTGCGTCTGCGAAAGCCAACGGGCGCGCTTGGAGGCTCGGCGGCGCCGTGTGGTCCGCGCCAGAGCGCGAAGTCGGCGGCGCCTGGGAAAGGCAGCCGCGAGGCCGAGCTGCGTACGGGCTCAGAGGCCAGCAACCCGGGGCATACTTAGACCAAGTATAGCCCCGCGTACAGGCTGAGAGGCCAGGGATTCGGCTGTACTTGGTCCCAGTATGGGGCCGCGTACAGCCTGAGAGGCCAGGGATCCTCACATACTTAGATCAAGTATGGGGCCGCGTACAGCCTGAGAGGGCAGGGATTCGGGCATACTTAGAGTAAGTATATTTTGCCCGACCCCGCCTGGCTCTCGCACGTCTTGATGGCGATCCGCCAAACGGCGCGAGGTCGTGCTGGAAGGGCGGGGCTGCGCTTGAGCGGCCGAGGCGTCATCCCGCGATGCCGCTTGGCGTGCAATGGGCGCTGCATGTGTTGCACACGTGCCCGAAGTTGCACCCGCTGAATCGCCGCCGGTGCCGAGCAGTGGTACGGCGCGTGGAGGGTCCAAATCGCCATTTTGGCCTGAAGTTGAAGCCGAAACGGGGGCAAAAGTGTAAACCCCTGCCCCCTCGTCGTCGCTGATTGGCCGAAAGTCGGACCAATCGGGGGCCGCCAGATCGGCCTCGTCAGCTGCGCTATAGAAAGACGCGTCGCTGCCGAGACTCGATTGGCTGGCCGTGGAGGCCTCGCTGTCCGAGGACAGGGCCCGGTCTCTGATTGGCCAGAAGAGTCGCATGGCGCGCTCTGATTGGTCAAAAAGAAAAAAGCCCGACAACCGAAGACCGAAGACGGAGGCGAATTAGAAAAGTGTAGAGAAGATCGGTGTAGTTGGCCTCGCGGGGGAAAGGTGAACGCCCCCGGAGACCGCTCGTCCGCCGCTAGCAAGCTAGCCGCAGACGATTGCCCAAAAATGCGAGTGAAAAAGTCCGCCAAAAGGCGAAAACCAGTTTTCACACTGATTAGAACAGAATATGTGTTCGTATTTACCAGTTAGTAACCTCTCCGTAACTGAAATCTAGGCTAAAATATGTATGTCACTAAGTGGAGGGTGTTTGTGTCTTCCTGGGTTTTTTAAGGGCGGTTCCCTACCTGGGTAGTGCCCTGTCGGTCATGATGACCAGCTTATCGCCGTGCCGGTGCCTGCGATGTGCGCCGCGGGGCCCCCCCAGACCCACGCGACGCTCGCGAGGCAGTGCCGCTACGTTGCCGCTCGCGGTGCTGTCGGCAGTGCCAGCCCCAGATGCGGTGGCTGGCGCGAATGCAGTGGCTAGACAGCTGGAGATCCAGCTGCCTAGCCTCGCGCTTGTGAAGCTTGAACTTCTCAGTGTAGGCCTTGAAGTTGCTGGGCTGCACCGAGCCCAGCGTGCCGTACACTATGGCAGCAGTCTGCACTCGCCATCCCTTGTGCCGCAGCTCCGCCACGATTGGTTGGTACTTGAGAGTCTTGTGGTCGTGGCTGAGCTGCAGCGAGGAGTGACGAGCGCGAGCCGCTTGGTCTTCGAACGTGACCGCCAAGTCGGCGATCACCATCGTCTTGGCGGCCACGTTTCTAAGCACAATGTCTGGGCGTAGAGCTGCGCCTGTGTACTCGGGTACAGTCTGGTTCAGGCGCAGCTCTGTGGGAGACTTGGCGCGGTCGAGCGCTCCGCGGATCTTAGACCCAATCTGCTCCAGGGCGTCGTCGTGACGCTGGCGAATGGCGTCCATGTTGGACTCGCAGTGGTTGAGTACATGTGCCAGCGTCTCAGCCGAGGAGCAGGTTGGGTCCCTGCAGGTCGTGTGTGCCCGCAGTCGTTTGCGCTTGAGCACCGAGTTCGTGTCGACTTGGTTGAGGCGGCCCTTCACCCCGAAGCGGTAGTCGTCGTCCGACAGGACCGCTCCGGTCGTCATGAACTTGGCGCCAACCCCACCGTGCACGCGCACCGTCTTGCCCTGGTCCACCATGCCCTTCCATCGCGTCTGGTGTCGGATCTTCAGGTGTAGCTTCACGTGCCGCAGCACAGTCATGTGCGTAAGCCACTTGTTGTGCTGCGGACACGCGAAGCTGAGCCGGGCCATGGGCCTCTGTCACGTCGCAATCCCAAATCCGCAGGTGAAAAATGGGCACGCCACCGCTGCACGTCGAACCACTGCCAAGGAAATGCAAACCGTCGCGACGGAGGACCTCAGCGTGTGGCGAGGCGGCGAGCTCGGAGTTCAGGAAGCTGCGCACGAGCTCGTCATCGCGCCCGCGCCAATGGTCTTCTTGCAGGCGGTAGCGCTTGCGCACCACCTGGCAAGCCTGCGCTCTTGCCACTGCTTGGATGGCTGGGTCCTTGGAATGCAGCATCTGCCACGCGTGGGCGAGCTGTAGGGCGCGGTGCAGCTCCACGAGCGGCTGCAGGCCCAGGCCTCCGCTGGACGTCGGGGCGTACAGCACCTCGCTGGTGGCTGAGCGAGGCAGGCTCAGCAGGTGTCGCAAGCCCTTGGAGACGACACGGTCGAACGCCTGCAGTTGCGGCTGCAGCGGGCGCAGGTGGCGCAGCGCGTACTCCACCTTGGGGTAGACGTACACCTTGAGCGCGCGCACCACCTGCCACGGTGCCAAACCCGACGTCAGCAGCGCCACCGCCTCCCGCTTGAGCTGCTTGAGTTTTGGCTCGAGCTGGAGACGATGGCGCACGTGGTCATATCCATCACCCACGCCCAGGTAGCGGTAGCTTTCGTGGAGGCTGAGCGTGGTGATGGCGGCGTCGTGGACCTCGAGACGCATGCTGCTGTCTCTAGTCGGGTTGCCCCGGGCGTTCGTCGTCACTGCGAGGCTGGCACACTTGCCAGGGTTAGCGCGCAGCCCTGTCCACGCGAGGAAGCCAGCCACTGTGTCGTGGCACTTTCGGATGCCGGCGGCGCTGTCGCTGAACACCTTGAGGTCATCGGCGTAGGCCGTGGTGCAGGGCCGCACACCGTCCGCCAGTGGCACACCAACGCCGTCGAGTTTCTCGAGGCGGCGCACGAGAGGCACCAGCGCCGCGACGAACAGGAGCGGGCTGAGTGGGCAGCCTTGGTATACGCCCACCTCTTGGCGCACCGGGTCCGTCGCACCGTCCGCCGCGTTCGCCACCACGAAGGCCGAGTCCCTGTAGATATCCCTGCAGCGGTCGATGAAGCCTGAGTCGACGCCAAGGTGGCGAAGCACGCGCCACATGAGCTGTTGAGGAAGCGAGCCGAAGGCGTTGCGAAGGTCGTACCACACTTGGTACAGCTTTCGGTGCTGCCGGCGGGTCTGGTCCAGCAACGTGGTAGCCATGAAATTGTGCTCGTGGCACCCGTTGAAGGCCCTGAAC